TTTTTGTTTTTTTTTTTTGTTCCACGCGTACAAAGTCATGAAAGCTAGTAGAGAATGTGAGTGAAAACAATATAATACTGTTACAAATATAAATGCGACAATACTGTATGGATATTAGAAGATATCTTGTAATGAGTCCACTGATCTGGTAGAAATTAGGTCTAGAAGGACACTGGAAACAACACTTAATTTTTTAATAACGCGATAATCGTTGCGAGCAATAGATAATGTATCTATACAACTTGACAATAAAGCTTAAATAAGTATTAGAGAAAGCTCCTATTGCATTTAAAATCAAAAAATCGCATCAAAAGCAATTGTGCACTGAGATACACCATTAAGATGTAAGTCAAAATAAGAGGTTTATTTATGTCTCTTCTACTTTTACTTCATTTAAGTCGACTTCGAAGAGACAGTACTTTCAAAAATGTTGACAGCGCCATCTATTGAATGTTTCTGTCCTGTAGGTATTAGTATTGCACGTCAGTGCATGGATAGAAATAAAAGAATCAGTCTACCATTTCAACTCTAAGTATGAAACAATAACAGCTACCGATAAGTCCGGTTTACACGTGACGTCACCAAATAAAACCGGACATAAAACATGGAATGTATTGGGAAAAAATGCTTTATCTTGCGCAATGCAACCTCCATATTTCATACAAGTCACACCGTCTGTCGAACGAAGGATATACCGACATATTTTTTATCCGCCCCATAAAATAGCTATTGTCGGACCTCTGTTGCAAATGGATCGCTTGAAACTACCCTAGAAACGGGTCATTGGATATATACATCATACATTGCGTGTTGTGAACTTAGGAAGAGGATAGACATGTTGAAAATCCATCAATGGATTGCAAATAAATGAAAATATGATTTGTACCGCTTTACTTCGATACAGATGAAGGAAACTTTACGGATGGCATTTGTTTTAGTACTATTTATAAATTAGTACTTAACTCTAAAAACATTTTTTTTTACATTATAAGGTGGTAACGAGCTAGAGGCCACCTGAAACCGCCGAAATGGCCGGAACGACCGCTGCATAGACATCTGCAATTACAGATCCTTTGCCCACCCTTAATCGACAAAGGAGGAGACGCACATAAAGATATTTCCTATTCCTATGCGACTCTTCCACCGTCAAATCCACTTTTCCTTTCCATCTTTTTCTCTTAAGAAAAGAGTGGAAAGGGAAAGGGACTAAAATTAGGCCTCCAGCTACTATACAAGTAGTAGTCACATTTAATGTATCTACATTGTTAAGTAGAAAAATTCACCCTCATTCGACCTCATCAACGATTCGAAACTGTAAATGCGTTTCGTCTGTACTTGTTTGAAACTTTTTTTTTAGTTAATTCGCCTGTGACAGACCGACGGACGGTCCCAGCGTTCATTAGCGCTGATTGCATCCCTGATAAAAGGCCGTTTTTGATTGTAACCTTTTATTTGACTTTTACGATCGCTAATAAGTTAAGGAAATATTTCAATGAGGGTGCCGGTGCTTTCGAATACCAAATTCTCTTTAAGTGACATATTATCTTTGAATGAATTATTTTTAAACTAAATTTGTAGATTTACGTTGAAGATTTTTATCCATTTATTTTCTGAGCATCGAGTTTTGAATGTTATGCCTTTTTAAACAATGTACAATTACGAAAATAAGCGGTGGTCAAACATGAGTGTAACAATAAAACCAATTACCCATGTACAAATGACTAACTTTTTTTCTTACACAGATTTAAAATCGTCCTAATTAAACATTGATCCTAATCGTCATATCAGTACGTATAAAAAATTCAAATGACTATAGCTTTAAAGTTAGAACACTGTCAAATTCCCTAACTGTACCTCTGCCTTGTCCCGAGTTCAATTTGAGAGCTATGACGTCACAAAATTGCGCACATTCTAAATTTAAAACTGGTTATAAAAGCCTTATCTCACTTAATCTAATTAAAAAGACATTAGAAAAATGAGGATTTTGCGACGAGAAAGTATTTTTATAAACAGACGCTTTCCAAACAGAAGGGTAAAGAGAAATGGTGGACTAAATGAAGACAGATTTCATGTGAATCGGGTACAGCATAATTTTTACTACCTTTTTAACTTTCTAGTTAAAAAAAGTAGAAGAAAAAAGGTAGAGGTTTCTAGGTAAAAGATTCTTCTTTCTTGAGTCCTAAATCTCACGGTATTTGAATTGATTTATATTACATACGAGTATGTTATAGTAGAAGAGAGCAGATTAGCAGTGAATCGCCTAATATTATGTGAACGATTATGGGCATCCCAACACCAGAAAAACTGAAGATGCGATGCCTACCCTTACGGACGGAGTACGTCGCAAAAATGTGAAGATTCGTCAACAAAGATAAGATTAATTTACTTACTAATGTATCAACAATGACATTAAGCGTTCCCAATAAAAAGTTCAGTTCATTTTATGCTAATTTTAACTGAAAAGACGCGCGACCAGCATCACAACCGATAACTAAATGACCGTAAGAATCCATTCCACTTTCAATTTATTACCGAGAGATGGCGTTGAATGTATGAATGAATTGAAAGTTAGATTTTACAATTTAAATTCCCCCTTGATGCAAATAGGGACGGTAAGAGGTTTGAGGGGGTGTAGAATATATTAGGGAAGGTAAAAGGGAGGGGGGGATTGTAATATTTACTTCACAGGAGTTTGGTATTCGCGGCGCAAAATCTTAATGGATTATGTTATGATTACACGGGTCGGTTTACCTGAGGATATCTCACTTTTCGCAATAAAATAATATTTACAAAGCATAAAATTTGGTCCCTATGGACTTCCTTTGCTCCTTCAGTGGACAGTTAAAGAAAAATTTAAGAAATGTTTAAGGGATTTTAAAGAATTGAACCAAGAGATGCTGTATCAGACTTATCTACACTAAGTGGCTTAAGTGTTACTTTGCGGTTATTAATGTAAATAAAAAATCATGAAACAATGTACTCTGTATCTTTTAAATAATCTTTAAAAGATACAGAACTGTAAATGTTCAATCTAGGCAATTCTACGCTTTCGTAGAATTGCCTAGATTGAACATTTACAGTTGAGACACTAATATTCATAATTTCTTAATAATCAATGTGTGAACTGCAGCTAATAGTGTTAAAGCCAGAATTCTGTTTGACCGCTAATTATCATGGTATCGAGAACTTCCATTGTTTTTTCGCGGTGAACGAATTGCGTAGGTTTATAGGTCAAATGAAATGACTAAACTTCATTCAATCTTGAATTAATTTCAATTATGTTTGTCGTTTTAACAACATAAAGGTTTAGCAACAAACTTAATGCACACCATCCCCATGGAATTTAAAAAAAAAGGCAGTAGCGTATGTGTTCTTCCAGACTATCCTCTACATCTGTGCCAAATTTCATCGCGATCTACTAAGCCGTTTAGGCTACAAAATAACAAACATCCATCTAAACTTTCACATTTATATTATTATCCAGACATAGGATAGGGTTATCTAATATTTGGATAAACCGTTTAGTAGACTCCTGCCTTTTATTTAGATTTTTTTAGTAAGAAATGGAACAAGAAGCTTCAATTAACGTCTCTAACGTTGTCTAAACAAAAGACGTTCGCGAACTTTGTTCTAGACGCAGTTTCTTTGTACGTAACAAGTAGCAAGTATATTCGGTGAGTGTGCTCCGGTCTTAAGTGAGGTTTTAAGCTCTCACCGAGTTCGCGGCCCGATTTACGGCGCGTACACACTAGAGTGTAACGTTTGCAACATTTTTGCAGTCGCAAACTGGGAACTTAATGCGTTTACACGTAGTTAAGGTAGGGAAACTTGTTTAATAGTAATGTACAAACATTGTTGCGGTTTAGACGATGTTATTCGTATGTTTAGGGATTTAGTATTGTATCTTTGAATAATTTTGTTCTACAAGTGTTTACGTATAGCAATATTTTTAGATTTTTTGCAGTATAGTGGACTATAAATTTAAAGAAAGGATGGTTTCTCTGTTAGAAATGAGTGAATTTAAATATGATAGAGATAGAACTGATTTATAGGGCAAAGGTCAGGGAGACTTAGTTAGAAGCAACAAATTGACCAAAATATTCCATGATATTAACGCTACGTTAGATCGTGTTAATCCTAAAGGGTTAACATTAAGGTATCCTTCAAGTGACAATATGACTCATGTTAACTCTTGTAACACGTTAACCTCCAAGGGTTAACACGACTCTCCGATCTGCACGAGTCTTTATAACCGCGACATCCTCGCAATGTGTATCAAATTATTTTCTATTTAAGTGCAGTAGACGTGTAAAAGCCCCGAGACATTCGTTACCGCCGGACAGCCAGCCGCGGGATATGCATTACTCAGCGGGTTTACGGCTAAGCTTTGTTTTCGAAATGGCAACGAAAAATAGATATAAAATTCTTACATTTTGTATATGTAAAATTCATTTACATTTATTATATGTACAAACGAAATGTTCATTATTTATAACTATCATTCGGCCACAACTCTGGCCACGTAGAATTAAAAAAAACTTAAGTTGCCTATGTGTTTCATCGAGAATTTCATAGAGAATTTTATCGAGATCCGTTCAGCTTTTTAGGCTACAATTCAAACAAACATCTAATCTTTCGAATTTTTAATATTAGTAAGAAATAAGATAAATGCTGTTTACTATCTTTTTTCCTAGTATAAAAGAGAAACTAGGATTTAATAGAAATGCTGTTATTCAGAATAATCTGAGTCATTGAGGTAAACCAAACACCTGAGTAATTTTTATTTACTTAACTGTATTTCGTCTTGTGGGATTTCATTAAGACGTGGTTATTAATGCATATTTGTGTATGACTAAGCCAGAAATGAGTAATACCAATGAATAATCTTATAACTTAGAAGTACTTTAAAATCATAGACTAAATATCTCCTTATAGATGTTACAAAAATGTCGAAACTCCAGTCATCTTAGTATAACTAAAGAATTAAAAAATAAACTCACCTGAACTTCTCGCCTCAGCTAGCAGTCTCGTATCAACAAAAATCACCACTAATAACAAGTACATAAGAGTCTTTATCCTACTACAGCACCATCTTCCTCCCCAATACCTTCTCTTACACCTTTCCCTATCACCATAATCACTCACAGTTGTTTCACCAAAACTAACTTTATTGTCTAAACGATACAATCTATTATTGCTAGTATTAGATTTCCTATCTTCTATAGTACCCCCTCTATCTTCTAGAAGGGATTTGAGATCTAAAAGACTCTTCCTTTTGATCAGGACTTTCTTCTCCAGTGGTTCTAGAATATTCTGCCCCATCATAACAGGCTGATGTTTGGGTCTACAGTTTGATATCTTCATTTGTTTGTGATCAAATTACGGCATCATCTTGATTTAACATCTGTAAAGAAAGAGAAAATAAATTAACATCAAATAAAAAAAAAACTTATTATAATCAGAAACAGATACAAATCTAGTTTGTTAATATCATAGACTAATATTAAGAATCTGTCTACCAAATCAGATATACGTATCTAATTCATATCTGAAGAAAGTATCAGCGATATTGCAATATCGGTAGCTATTATTGTTGGCAAATACAATCCTCATGTTGAACGTCCTCATAAATAATATAAATCGACTCGGAATCTTACAAAGGATATTACTAAGCCATTCTGCGCATTTAAACCCCGCACGACGATAGCAATAAATCACGAAAGCGCAACTAAAACATTCCATATAATTGGCTTAGAAGAAAAAGTCGGAACACTAAAACCGAAACGTTCAAAAGGCATTTAGGAAACGAAAATGTAACAACTTAATAAGCCATTATAAAATATGGTAGATGCAAGAAGTTTACGAGAATTGTCAGAGAAACAAGTGCAAAACAGCACAATCTAACTGGTAATTCATCAAGGGATGTGACAGTATATGTTATCGTTGGCTGTTAGTCGGACTCAGGGGAGTGTGGGAACAGGAGGCCAGGGGGAAGGGAGGTCGGGGGAGAGTGAGCTTGCACCGAAGACACCTGCGCCCCACTGACGGAGATAAAAGAGGCGAGTAGGATGAACTTGTTTTAAGGCCGCAGTAACTATCGGGTCTAGACTTGTACTAATGAGTTTTTGTTAAGTGCTCGTTATTTTTGATCGATCATCTTGTCTGAGTTGTTGCATACGGTCGGGTAATGTAATTAAATGGTGCATACTTATTAGCGATAAATTAACTGCCGATCATTTAATGCGCTAAGTAAAATGTACTAGCATTTCTACGATCACTCAAGATACTAGATAAATCGTTCTATGACTTTTTAATCGATTTTACTTTGAATTATGTTAATAATTTAAGATACGCTTTATTCCCTGGATGCTAGCTAATTGTAATCTTACTAACATTATAAATAGGAAAATCTAGATGGATGGATGTTTGTTAGAGTTTGTGGCCAAAACAGCTCTACAGATCTTAATCAAATTCTGCACAGATGTAGAGGATAGTCTGGATGAACACATAGGGCACTTACTTTTATTTTTTATAACTCCATGCAGACGGAGTCGCAAGCGAAACTAGTAGTGTATGAATCGGGAAATTACAACATTATGTTCGATAATTTAATTAAACAAAGATTACTATGCACTTAAAATCTCGCATTGTTTGCTTGTTTGAAACCCAGAAATACAAAATAAATCAACACCAGCATTTCCGCAGAAGCAGCGTTAAAATAAAATCAATCAAACAAATAGTTTCCGCCTTACACCGATAGGAAAGCGAACACGGCAATTTTTTACAAGCGCACAGAGCAATAGGGAATGCGCGTCCGAAATGCAAGTCCGGCAGACCAGGTGCAATAGCCCCGGCGCTCAAAACTGTCTCATTAATCTTCTTGGAAAACCATTCTTACCCGTTAAACCCCCTTTTCACTATTGCGACTAGCTCGCGCGACTTTCACGGCGCGCTATTGCTATATAGAAACAAATATTTAAACAAACAAATCGTAATAAAGGACGTTTAAAAATTGCTAAATTTTAAATGTATATATTCGGCAATATTCGCATATTCAACTACAACAAATATATTTAAGAAAAATGCATGTTTAATTTTACTGATGTGGCCGCGACTGCTTTATAAAAAAAAGGTGTGCGGATAGTGGCTTGATGGAAAAAGGGTTTAACCTGTACATTAGTTACCTGCGCTTCAGGAAAACACAATTCTTATATCTATCTTGTGTTTAATTTTTACACGCTACAATGTAATGTATTGTTACATTTCTCATCTGTTACGGTCCGTAGTTAGTGGAAATTACGTTTTGTCTGTGTTACGCCGCCATTTTGAAAATATGTTAGTGTTGTGATCGCAATAAATTAAAGATTATAAAATCACTCAATCGTTTTTAATGGTTGTTAATTATTACGGACTACAGTTCTAAATTGGTTGTTTTTTTTAGTAGTTCAAAGTTTTCGCGCCTAAATCTGACATTCGTAATGTCATTGTCACAGATTAAAAAACCGATAAAACAAATATCTCCAGTCTTTAAACGTCTTAGAGTAGTCTTTGCAAATTAGAATCAGGTGTTCAGAATAGTTTGCTAAGTGCTTATTTTATTTTTAGTACTTGTAATTATGTCATTGTTCATTTAAATATGAAAATTAAAATCTTTGTCTTTTATAATAATTTTTTAGTGCTTTCACACTAAAAACTGTTTCTAGAATAGTGTCTAGAAGCTTCTTACTTAATGACTTAAAGATATTCCAGGTGTTGTAACATTTAAAATTAGTTTTACTAAAATTTTATTTAGCAGATGTCCCGTAAGTTATCCCATCACTGGCCGATAGCGGTTCAGAAAAAATGTCTGCTAGATAAGGGAACAAAATCGGATATTTCAGTCACATATTTTACACGTTAGATTGTTATCAGACAATTTATAATTTAGTGGGACAGGCCCTTGTATTAAGGTAAACGACACCATAATCGTACCGTTATTGAAAATGCGACTTCTCGTACGACCGTCAATGACATAAAAGCTGAGAGAAACAAAACGCGTATTTGCGAACATCCAACTCACGTCTCGACAATATTTTCATTGCTAACTGCAAAAGGAAATTTGTTCGTTGTCACGACAAACTAGGGGTCCGGTAAAAGATCGTAACTGAAAATTGTTTTTATTCCCTAGAGCTATTGGCAAGGTTCTTGCTCTGAGATCTTTCGCAGGTGTTCTGAGTTATCGGAGCAATGTTGCAGTTTTATTGGCCGTGAAGATGTAGTTATGAATTCATAACCGAGACGCCCTAAAACAGTTAAAATACGATACGGTCTCGGATGTATATCAAAGGAAATATGTTTATAGGATTGCGTAAATATTCTGGTTGATAGCACTTTATGTTTACTATATAAAATAATTTTTTATATAGAGCTATTTAAAGTAAAAATACGTACAAACAAAAAACAAGACAACTGAAAGGCATTTTTATAAATTTGTCGTTTTTGTAATTCATATTTTTAATTCCACGATTAAATTGAATTGCAAATATCTTTCGAAATGTAAACTCACTCGAAGATTATGTGAAATCGAATTAAATTTGAATAAGTGGTTGCAGACAGCTCTAGAAGCTCAGAAGAAATATAAACAGTAATTTATCGTCACAATCCGGGCTCCGGTCCATTCGTATTTAGCCCAGCCCTCTTTGGGAGGAACACAGGTGTAAGTCCACCCCCCTAACCGACTGCTTGACGGATTGTTTGTTTTGCCTTTCCCAGTTTACTTGTTTGGCGCGGAATTTGCAATTGCAACCTTGTTAAGCGTCGAACAAAAAAACTGCAATCAGTTTAAAGAGCTCTTTCTATTTGAACAAAGATAACTGTACATTAATTGAATTGTGTTCTACATTTGATTTATTCTTTTGTTTTTTATAAAAGATGAAGAATCGAAGTTCAGAAAATAATCCCAAGTAGGGTTGGCGACAGGCGGCCGGCTGCAAAAAAATAGTGCCGAATCCAAAAGTAGGTTTTTGATGACGTATGATAGTTATTTGGTGGACAAAAACCTGTTACGCCGACCCTACGGGAGTAGGATAAGCAGAAAGATGATGAGGATGAAGATTCGAAGTTCAGGTATACGACTTATTCCCATACGTTTGTATCTAATAAATGTCTGCCTGAATCACATAGCTTTTAATTATTAGACATTCCTTCACATTTCCATATGTATCCATACCCTGTCATGTTCTAACGTACAAATAGGTATACGAGAATAGAAGGTACAAACCAACAAGTAAGGACGTGTTTGTACGCAACTAGATAGGATACCGGGCTATAAATGGTATGTTGGTACTTCTAAATTGAGAACTAACAGCTAATATTATTTCTTAAAGGTTGGTATTAGTCAACGTCATTTCAACTTCATACAATTCCTTACACACTGATAGTATGTTGGGTAGATAAAAAATTATCAGTTAATATTGATAGTTTAGATACACTGATTTAGTGTTAAATCAAGAATCTTGACATGACTTCCTTTAAAGCATGTAAAAACTGTGAGAGAAAACTGTTAAGATCAAATCTTTTTTATATCTAGTTGATGCAATTTACTTTAATTGGTGTATTATTTACAAAGAAATGCATTATGTAATACTGAGATATGAAATCGCGTAAATAAGGATAACAAATTGTTGAATATCTAAATAAAGATGCGTGGGTGAACGCAAATTTTAAGAACGCCCCTTTCATGTTTAAGAGAGGTGTTCAAGACCTCAGGCCGTGAATCCAACGCTAATCGGCGCGCTTTAATACTTATGGCTAAGTATTCGTGTTGCAACGTCGGTTGCCTTAAAATTTCATGTCCCTAAACAGAGTAAGGCAATGTTTATAGCATGAACATATGGTACTGATGTTTTTAGCGCACTCTCTCCTTGTCTCCGGTAGCTAAGAGTTTTATCTTTTTATGTTATATAGTATACTGTTTGGATAAATAATTACAATAGTAAAGACAGTGTATTTTAGCGTAATAAAGTAAATTAAAGTAAAATGAATTGTCTTATCAGATAATTTTAATCAATTAGGTTAAAGATTTTTATGTAAGATAGCAAAACTTTTCGTGCTACTGTGTAAAAAAATATGTACCCTTTATGAAATGTTAGTAGCTTTATTAGTAGAAATATCCTCATTAACCTACCCTTATCCCTACGGAGAGTAGGCACAGCTGCTGCTCTTCCATACATCTCAGCCATCATATCTTAATTCACGCCCTTATTAAGCATACCATAGCATGCGAATGTTAAGATGCATGTGTGGGGTAACACGATTGGATAAGACACGAAATGAGTATATTAGAAGAAGTTTGAGAGTAGCCCCAATGGTTGAGAAAATAAGGAGTAAAAGGTTAGACATGGTATGGGCATGTTATGAATGTGG